GTTTTACCTCTGAAAGTGAATTTTCATATACAGAAATTCTCCAGGTACTGCTCATCAATTGTGTAATTTAGTAGCCAGCAACCACTTCAAATAATAGCTGATGGTGTCCTCTCTGAATTAAATAGTAGATGGTGACTTATACATAAAAAATAAAATAAAACATTAACCAGAAATAGTTGATGGTGACCCCTATATTAAGTGCTTGAGTGGTTAGCTGTGCATTTTCTAGTTTTAAATAATGTTAGATACAAGGAATTTCTTCTGTTACTATTCCTCTTCCTTCTTTTTTTTTTTTTTAATATTTGAATAAGTACACATGCTGCTCAGAGTTGCAATTGCTCTTGTCAACAAAATGATGTTTTGTCACCAGTTTACTATGTGGAAAAATTGTGAGTGAAAGATGGAAACTGAATTCCAACAAAAAATTTTCTAGTAGAGAATTTAAAGCTAGAAAGTGAAATCAATCTTCTTTCGCAAATATAGTAAGTGTATCAATTGCACCATTCTACTTTGTACTGTGACTTAAAAGATCACTAAAAGATACTTCCGATTACAACCTTCCGATTACTAATTAGCTATATCTTCTCCTTTGTACCCTCTATTCTAAAACTTTTTGATTAATCCTCACTAGCCTCAATCCATCTATTATAACTGAGAATATTATGCCTTTCTATGCAAAAGAATTGGTATATGGAATTATAAAATGAGGTTTTAGTTTCAATGACCTTGCTATGTATGAAGATTAAGTGATATTTTCCCAGAATGGTTGGAAGACAAGAGCGCTTCAGTTGCAGTAGGAAAGGGAGGAGTAAACGTCAATACTGGGAAAGGAAAGCCCGCTGGCAGCGGCACCAATGTTGGTGTTGGTCACAGAGGCGTCGGAGTAACCGCCGGAAAGCCCCAAACCAACGTCGGCGTCGGAAAGGGAGGCGTTACCGTCCACACCGGCCACAAGGGTCATCCAGTATATGTTGGAGTAACACCAGGTCGCAACCCATTCATCTACGTGTATGCAGCCACCGAGGATCAACTCCATGATAATCCAAATGTAGCCCTTTTCTTCTTGAAAAAGGATCTGCACCGCGGGACAAGCATGAATTTGCAGTTCGTCAAATCATCAAATCCCGCAACTTTCTTGCCTCGCAAGGTTGCTGATTCCGTACCTTTCTCATCCAAATACATACCCGAAATTTTCGACAAATTCTCAGTGAAGCCGGAATCTGTCGAAGCTGAGACTATTAAGAATACGATAAAGGAGTGCGAGGAGCCCGGAATCAAAGGGGAGGACAAATACTGTGCAACTTCCCTCGAGTCCATGGTCGATTTCAGCACGTCCAAGTTAGGAAATAATGTTCAGGCGGTTTCCACAGAAGCAGAAGAGGACACCAAAGCCCAGAAATATGGTATTGTGGGTGTCAAGAAGTTAAACAATAATAAGGCTGTGGTTTGCCACAAGCAAAACTATGCCTACGCAGTTTTTTACTGCCATTCCACGCAGGCCACCGAAGCATATGAGGTTACTTTGGTTGGAGCGGATGGAAAGAAAGCTAAAGCTGTGGCTGTTTGCCACGAAGATACAGCAAAATGGAACCCAAAGCATTTGGCTTTCCAGGTGCTAAAGGTGAAGCCAGGAACCGTTCCAATATGCCATTTCCTTCCTGAGGACCATGTTGTTTGGGTTCCCAAGAACTGAATTTGTGAAGAAAATCCTTGAGATCCCTCCTTTACTTTAGTCTTATCCATTTCGAGTTGTCTTTAATTTATGTTCCGTTCCATGGTAGCTTCAGCTTGGGGTTCGAAGTTCTGATCATATAGATAAGATGAGTGCTAAAACCTGAAATACTTGTGTACTTCTGCAGCTTTGTCCTTAAAATTATCTGTATGAAATATGGTTTCCAGAGTAGACACCAGATGTGAACCAGACACCTATCATATTATCGCATATTAGTCTCTTTAGTAATTTTAGTTACGTGGAGTCCTTTTGCAGAAGTTTCTTCTAGTTTTTAATATATGGACTACGTACAGAATAAAAAAAAAATTTTCTTAACAATCTATGGTTAATTTGCCTATCTCAACTTGATCTCGGTTAAGAAAATACAAGGGGAAGGAATTTTTCCACTCAAATTTCATTGCCTTCTAATGCAAGAAGATGAAAAGTTTAGTTTGAGGAAGTATTTAGTCAATGGTAAATGAGCGTAAATCCCTTTTAACATTTGGTCCCAAAACAACTTAATTTGCCACTTACACTAATGGTCAAAGCTAATCGAAAGATAAAAATTAGTTAAATAAGACAAAAAATCTCCACTATCCACAGAATATTTCAAAATCAAAGGACAAAGATAAAAAAAATGTCGTTCTATTATTTTTTTTTTCTAAGATGTCATTTTATTATTACAAAAAATTGAATTATAAACAAGATTTTACCTTCAAAAAATCTAAGGGGTGTAGAATGTGTTCATTACATGTACGGATAAGTGTAACAAATACATTCTAGAGTTTCTGCATTACTGAAATTTTAATAGTAATAGTAAAAGAACAAATTGCAGTGCTTAAGAAAGTACTAGGCAGTATTGAATACAGGCAGGAGGTTTGAAGGTATAAGAGATAACAACCACCCCAGCTACCAACAAACTGTTTGAATTTGAGTGACACATTTATTGCAGCATGTTATTACAATAATGAAAGTCGGCAAAATGTGTCAAAAAAATCAGAACATATACTGCATTAAAGGACTTTGTGTTTTTTCTTTCTTTTTTTTTTTTTTTGTCTACTCGAGAGAAACAATTTTTTTGATTAAACAGCTCACAAAATGTGTTGTCCGAAGTTGGGGAAAGTAAAATGTTCGGTTTTAAAAGAACAATTTTCTATTTGGTGTTAGAAAAAATAATACCGGATTCATTCCTTACTTATTATCTACTAAAACGATGAGTAATAAAAAGCGAAAACGTAAATGTTCATGACAAATACGGTTATATAATTGGATCTATCTTGAATTTATGCTAAAATAAAAAAGTTATACCATAACAAGAAAACCGGGATTGGATATGCACCATAATTTCACAACGCCAAACAGTTTCCTTTCAAACTTGCAAGCAAGAAAAGTATGAAAATAGTTAATGGCTTTCTGTGTATAAAAATAGTAGTTAATAGGTATGCATAATACGTTTATGTGATTTTTTTGACATTCTTCTGTGACTGAAAGATGATCATCCAAATCCTGTAGCTAAGCTTAGTAAAACTAGCAAATCACTTTGGATATACTTCAAGTTTGTCAGCCACATTAAGAGCAGGATTGAAGCCATACGTCAAAAACTTGAAAAAAAAACTACTAACTAATCGATAAAGATGACGCCAGATTGCCATAAGCGCAAGGCTTAAAACTTGAGCTCTCAACTTCCAGCTGAAACCCTTTGTCTGATAGCATTGATCAAGTAAGGATTGACCATTATCAGATCAGACCAGACAGGATTATCGTTTGCGTATGCAATTAGGAAACAGGCATCTGTATCTCACACACAAACGCGCAGAACTTCACACATGTAACTCACTGATACATTTGGCTCAATTGGCATTAATGCGTTTAAGCCACAGTTGGAAGTGATTAGAGCACAAGTCATCAGTAGAGATGATCTGTTGCTTATCTGCTGACATTTTACCCTGAACCCACATTCGGCTATAAATAGCACTATAGTTGTTGCCTTTTATCTTCAAGAAAGTTGTGGTTTCATTTTTCACATCTATCATAAAATTTCACTTCTGTTTACACTTCCCTTGGCGGCCAGTCTCTTACAAAATGGAGTTTCGACCCCTACATCTCTTCATCTTTGTTGCTGTGAGTACAACATTGTATCAATTATTTACGCTTTTGCCAATAAAATGTATTCTCTTTTACGCCTTTTCCAATAAAATGTTCACTTGTTCGTCTGTGTGTTTCAGCTAGCTTGTGTGTCAAGCCACGCAGCACAACCTGCTGAGACATATTGGAAATCTGTGCTCCCTAACAGTCCTATGCCGAAAGCTATCGAGGATCTTATACAATCTGGTCAGACTCAAACCTAAAAGCTGTTCTTTCACTGTTGTTATTCAAAAACAAAATGCTTTTTTGTCTCTATGCATTTCATGTTTCTACATGCCAGTAATGTTCTCGAGAAACCACAAATTAGGCTTAGGCAATAAACAGTGATACAAAGGTTAAAAGGGAACGAGTCAGCAAACTCTAGAATAAATACTACTACAGAGCATAAGACATTAAATTACCTTTTTTTTAGCAAAAAATTGGCAAATCCGGTACATGAAAAGGATTAAGTAGATTTTTAACAATTCTTACACAAGGAAAACTAATCCTATCTAAAGAAAGAAAGAATAAGACATTAAATTACTTATAAGGTGGTATGAATAGTATATTCATCCGTGTGTTCATGCTAACTGATTGTTATGGCAGAAACGGTGGATGATAAAAGTACTTCAGTCGGAGTAAGTGGTGGTGGAGTAGATGTTAATACTCAGGGTGGAAATCCAGGAGGCACCAACGTGAATGCTGGGCACGGTGGCGTAGATGTAAATACACCAGGAGGCACCAATGTAAACGTCGGGCCTGGTGGAGTAGGTGTTAATACACCAGGAGGCACCAACGTGAATGTTGGACCGGGGGATCCAGGAGGTTCCGAGACACAGGGCAGAAATCCTGAAGGCACCAATGTGAATGTCGGGCATGGTGGAGGTGTAACCGTATCCTCAGGCCACCACAGGGGGAAACCAGTATATGTGGGAGGAAGGCCAGGGACATCACCATTCTTGTATAACTACGCAGCAACCAGGGATCAGCTCCATGACAACCCAAATGTAGCTCTTTTCTTCTTGGAAAATAACATGACTCGAGGATCAAAGATGAACTTGCATTTCTTCAAGACTTCACATGGAGCCACTTTCTTACCTCGCCAGGTTGCTGAATCAATTCCTTTCTCATCAAACAAAATGACTGAAATCTTGAACAAATTCTCAGTGAAGCCCAACTCACAGGAAGCTGAAGTTATGAAAAATACAATAAAAGAGTGCGAGGAGCCAGGCATCCAGGGAGAGGAGAAGTTCTGTGCAACATCATTGGAAGCAATGGTAGATTTCACCACCTCCAAACTGGGGAAGAACGTTCAGGCGATATCAACAAATTCAGAGAAAGATACTCCACTGCAGAAATATACCATTGCAGGAGTGAAAAACATGACAAATGACAAAGCTGTAGTGTGCCACCAGCAAAATTATGCATATGCTGTATTTTACTGCCACAAAACACAAGCTACTAGAGCATATACACTTTCCTTGGTGGGTGCAGATGGAACAAAAGTTAAAGCAGTGGCAGTATGCCATGAAGATACAACAAAATGGAACCCAAAACACTTGGCTTTCAAAGTTCTGCAGATCAAGCCAGGACAAGTTCCTGTTTGCCATTTCCTTCCCGAGGATCATGTTGTCTGGGTACCTAAATAAATATGTGCAGGAAACTCCAAATGCTTGCCCATTTGGTTCTATTGTAAAACAATAATACACTGGTTGTAGTTCCACTAATAAACATATCCCTCTTAGTTACTCAAAAGTTTAGACTTCTCTTCCTTTGATTGGATTTCAGAGTGAACAAATCCTTCAAGTGCTTATCAGTAGCACAATGCAGATTAAAAAATCATTTTTTACTATAATTACAAATCAAATAATCTTCCCCTGCACAGGAATAAAATTGCACTAAAGGTCTTTTAGCATCAGTTATGAGCAAAATAATTGACAAAATCCAATTCTCAGTATAGATTAGAGATGGCAACAGAGTAGAGGATGAAGTTAAATGCCTACCACGTAACTGTAAACAAAAATAATTGACGGATTTAGTATAAGACTGTTTAATATCACTTCAACAAACATAGATGGTTTTCCTCAGATAGAAGATTCAGAGTAGCATGTTTCAGACAACTACAAATCCACTGCTAGTGTCTGAATGGCCTCCTTATTGTGGATTTCGCATCCCTCATAAACCATCAAGACTTCAGCAGTTCCAGTAAGGTGGTCAAATATCCATCATAAATTGGCCATTGACAAGTTACTTTCAAGTCTTTAGTAACTTGGAGTGGATAACTTTCATTAAGAAATTTTCTTATTCAAATGTCTACTAAGAAAGAAATCAATTACAACTATTATCTGTACTCAGGATGTAGTCTGACCAGCTATACTAAAAGACATCTGAGTATTAGATTCTATACTTAGAATATATGTCAGATAGTGAGTGAGTTTCTTTATGTAAGGTACGGCTCTCATGTCCTCCTCTGAAGTAATTTCATTCGAGTACTTATGGAGCTGGTATGGTGGGTCAGCCAATAACAAACCACTGTAAGGCGTCTTTCTTTAAAGACAAGACAACAAGAACAAAGATTTCAAAACCACTCCTCACATCTTTCCCTGAAATACAAATGCCCAACCCAAAAGCAACCTAGGGCAACTGAAAATAGATTTCTAACGAACAGAATCAAGAACTACAGAAAGAAGGAAAAAAAATGAGGTGATGGAACAGAGAAAATAAATAAAAGAAGTCCTTGCGATGTGAGAAGTGTTTTTAGAATGCATTTTGAAACCACGAGAGTGCAAAAAACAGCAACAAATGAAAAATTAAATAGTGGCCACCTGATCCTCCAAGATGATCCTAGATGAATAAGCATGATATGCAGGAAGTATTGTACTGTGAGCCTTCATCTTCAGGCCATGTCAATGTAATAACTAAAATATTCTTCAGTTTGACAAATGTTACCTGTGAATCTCAAAGAAACAACCGATGAAACTAATCCAGCATACCCACTCCATCTCATCTTAAACATCTTAAGTTCAATTGTGCTAGAGATTGTGGTTGGGATATTGCTCTGACAATGCATATACGAGATCTTTACTTTGTGCAAGACATTCCATGCAATATCCATTCATACTGCCACCACAGCATCCTTGGAATTTTCTTCTGAATCTTCCATTTTAGTCATCTATGAGATGCAACAATATTCTTCAACAGAAAAACCACTTAATTCCTTAAAAGCTTTAACAAATGGCTTTCAATAATTTGGCAATAAAGTTAAGAACCCTCCAGCCAATGCTTTAGCACGACAACAAATTTTGAATAGAACTCTAACGGAGCCTTGTTATCATACTAAAAAGAACAACAATAAACTCTTGATAGCACTTGTCCAGCTCAAGTTAATTAACATTGGGCTGGCTTCAATCAGCAAGGGAAAGAGAACCTTCCCACAATTAAAATTCAGATAGAACATGCCTATACACCATTCACTCAAGGCCAAGACAAAAAGACATGTTTCTTAATACAACATTAAATGGTCTGTTCAATCATTTTAGCATGCTTTAGTTCAATCAGGACTAACCTTAAAATATTTTAGTTTAGATCAATCCGGACTAACCTTAGAATGTAGAGATGCTTTTCCTCAATTGGATCATGCAGTCATGAGAATTATGCATCAGTAACCGCTCCTTCAAAAGAATAGCATCTCCAACTCTTGACCGTCTGCAGGATGAAAAACGCAAATTCCCTTCCTTAAACTGCACTATTATCAGCCCAACAACCATTAATAGATGATAAAATGGATCATGTGTGAGTAGCAGACTTGTGTTCTCTGAAACAGCTTCATGAGTCCTGAGATTACAGAGGAAATAAAGTTAACTGAACAAAGAGGAGGCCTTTTTTAGCAATTGTTTCATCCAAAACTCATCAACTAAAATCTAACTGAAACGAACTTGAGATGTGCTCCGTCAGCTGCCAGAAAACTCGTGGAAGACACACTTATCAAATTGAGCATGTCAACTAAGTCTAAAAAGGAGATCTGTGGTATCAAACAGCATCCAGGAGTCACTCTACGACTACTGGGAGCGATTCAAGAAGTTGTGCATCAAGTGCTCTCAGTACCAAATAAGTGAGCAGTTGCTCATACAATATTTTTACGAGGGACTAATCTTCAGATACAGGAATATCATTGATGCTGCGAGTGGAGGGTGTAGACACCAAAATTTTGAACGATTTTATTTTACTTTTATTTAATTTTTATTTTTTTTATTTTTATTTTATTTTAGTGATAATCATATATATTAGTTTCATAATTTTTGTTTTGGGCATTTTCTAGTATTTTTATAGCATCTTAATTTATTTTTGTCTTTTATTTCATTTTTTAGTTTTATTTTGTTTTTGTTTTTTAGTTGTTTATTTTTATTTATAAGAATTTTAGCATAAAATTTGTAAGAAAAGAATTTGTTCACAAAAATATGTTTTGGGCATTTTTTTTAGTATTTTTATTTATTTTAGTTAAAATTATTTCTTACTTTTCAAAAAAAAAAAAAAGAGTCACGGCAATGCAGAAAACTGCGTTTTTTGCCGCAACTTGCAAATGAGATTGGAAGAGGTCCTGGAGATGAAATTTGGAGCTGTAAAAGGCCAGGTGTCTAGGACACCTGGAGGGGGGGATGAATCTAGAATGATAGCTAGGTTTTGAGAGATAGAGAGAGGTTTTGGGGACGGCAAGAGAAAGAAACGAAAAGAATAGATGACAGCTGGGTTGATAGAAAACCAGGAAAGAGGAGAGCTTTGGGTGGCGGTTGGAGAGAAGAAATAAGAAAGAGTTTGAGAGAAAGAGAGGGTCGGAAAAAGAGGGAGGACGGCTAGAAAAAGAAACCAATGAGAGAGTTGGGATGGCCAGAAAACTAATCGATAAAGATGACGCCAGATTGCCATAAGCGCAAGGCTTAAAACTTGAGCTCTCAACTTCCAGCTGAAACCCTTTGTCTGATAGCATTGATCAAGTAAGGATTGACCATTATCAGATCAGACCAGACAGGATTATCGTTTGCGTATGCAATTAGGAAACAGGCATCTGTATCTCACACACAAACGCGCAGAACTTCACACATGTAACTCACTGATACATTTGGCTCAATTGGCATTAATGCGTTTAAGCCACAGTTGGAAGTGATTAGAGCACAAGTCATCAGTAGAGATGATCTGTTGCTTATCTGCTGACATTTTACCCTGAACCCACATTCGGCTATAAATAGCACTATAGTTGTTGCCTTTTATCTTCAAGAAAGTTGTGGTTTCATTTTTCACATCTATCATAAAATTTCACTTCTGTTTACACTTCCCTTGGCGGCCAGTCTCTTACAAAATGGAGTTTCGACCCCTACATCTCTTCATCTTTGTTGCTGTGAGTACAACATTGTATCAATTATTTACGCTTTTGCCAATAAAATGTATTCTCTTTTACGCCTTTTCCAATAAAATGTTCACTTGTTCGTCTGTGTGTTTCAGCTAGCTTGTGTGTCAAGCCACGCAGCACAACCTGCTGAGACATATTGGAAATCTGTGCTCCCTAACAGTCCTATGCCGAAAGCTATCGAGGATCTTATACAATCTGGTCAGACTCAAACCTAAAAGCTGTTCTTTCACTGTTGTTATTCAAAAACAAAATGCTTTTTTGTCTCTATGCATTTCATGTTTCTACATGCCAGTAATGTTCTCGAGAAACCACAAATTAGGCTTAGGCAATAAACAGTGATACAAAGGTTAAAAGGGAACGAGTCAGCAAACTCTAGAATAAATACTACTACAGAGCATAAGACATTAAATTACCTTTTTTTTAGCAAAAAATTGGCAAATCCGGTACATGAAAAGGATTAAGTAGATTTTTAACAATTCTTACACAAGGAAAACTAATCCTATCTAAAGAAAGAAAGAATAAGACATTAAATTACTTATAAGGTGGTATGAATAGTATATTCATCCGTGTGTTCATGCTAACTGATTGTTATGGCAGAAACGGTGGATGATAAAAGTACTTCAGTCGGAGTAAGTGGTGGTGGAGTAGATGTTAATACTCAGGGTGGAAATCCAGGAGGCACCAACGTGAATGCTGGGCACGGTGGCGTAGATGTAAATACACCAGGAGGCACCAATGTAAACGTCGGGCCTGGTGGAGTAGGTGTTAATACACCAGGAGGCACCAACGTGAATGTTGGACCGGGGGATCCAGGAGGTTCCGAGACACAGGGCAGAAATCCTGAAGGCACCAATGTGAATGTCGGGCATGGTGGAGGTGTAACCGTATCCTCAGGCCACCACAGGGGGAAACCAGTATATGTGGGAGGAAGGCCAGGGACATCACCATTCTTGTATAACTACGCAGCAACCAGGGATCAGCTCCATGACAACCCAAATGTAGCTCTTTTCTTCTTGGAAAATAACATGACTCGAGGATCAAAGATGAACTTGCATTTCTTCAAGACTTCACATGGAGCCACTTTCTTACCTCGCCAGGTTGCTGAATCAATTCCTTTCTCATCAAACAAAATGACTGAAATCTTGAACAAATTCTCAGTGAAGCCCAACTCACAGGAAGCTGAAGTTATGAAAAATACAATAAAAGAGTGCGAGGAGCCAGGCATCCAGGGAGAGGAGAAGTTCTGTGCAACATCATTGGAAGCAATGGTAGATTTCACCACCTCCAAACTGGGGAAGAACGTTCAGGCGATATCAACAAATTCAGAGAAAGATACTCCACTGCAGAAATATACCATTGCAGGAGTGAAAAACATGACAAATGACAAAGCTGTAGTGTGCCACCAGCAAAATTATGCATATGCTGTATTTTACTGCCACAAAACACAAGCTACTAGAGCATATACACTTTCCTTGGTGGGTGCAGATGGAACAAAAGTTAAAGCAGTGGCAGTATGCCATGAAGATACAACAAAATGGAACCCAAAACACTTGGCTTTCAAAGTTCTGCAGATCAAGCCAGGACAAGTTCCTGTTTGCCATTTCCTTCCCGAGGATCATGTTGTCTGGGTACCTAAATAAATATGTGCAGGAAACTCCAAATGCTTGCCCATTTGGTTCTATTGTAAAACAATAATACACTGGTTGTAGTTCCACTAATAAACATATCCCTCTTAGTTACTCAAAAGTTTAGACTTCTCTTCCTTTGATTGGATTTCAGAGTGAACAAATCCTTCAAGTGCTTATCAGTAGCACAATGCAGATTAAAAAATCATTTTTTACTATAATTACAAATCAAATAATCTTCCCCTGCACAGGAATAAAATTGCACTAAAGGTCTTTTAGCATCAGTTATGAGCAAAATAATTGACAAAATCCAATTCTCAGTATAGATTAGAGATGGCAACAGAGTAGAGGATGAAGTTAAATGCCTACCACGTAACTGTAAACAAAAATAATTGACGGATTTAGTATAAGACTGTTTAATATCACTTCAACAAACATAGATGGTTTTCCTCAGATAGAAGATTCAGAGTAGCATGTTTCAGACAACTACAAATCCACTGCTAGTGTCTGAATGGCCTCCTTATTGTGGATTTCGCATCCCTCATAAACCATCAAGACTTCAGCAGTTCCAGTAAGGTGGTCAAATATCCATCATAAATTGGCCATTGACAAGTTACTTTCAAGTCTTTAGTAACTTGGAGTGGATAACTTTCATTAAGAAATTTTCTTATTCAAATGTCTACTAAGAAAGAAATCAATTACAACTATTATCTGTACTCAGGATGTAGTCTGACCAGCTATACTAAAAGACATCTGAGTATTAGATTCTATACTTAGAATATATGTCAGATAGTGAGTGAGTTTCTTTATGTAAGGTACGGCTCTCATGTCCTCCTCTGAAGTAATTTCATTCGAGTACTTATGGAGCTGGTATGGTGGGTCAGCCAATAACAAACCACTGTAAGGCGTCTTTCTTTAAAGACAAGACAACAAGAACAAAGATTTCAAAACCACTCCTCACATCTTTCCCTGAAATACAAATGCCCAACCCAAAAGCAACCTAGGGCAACTGAAAATAGATTTCTAACGAACAGAATCAAGAACTACAGAAAGAAGGAAAAAAAATGAGGTGATGGAACAGAGAAAATAAATAAAAGAAGTCCTTGCGATGTGAGAAGTGTTTTTAGAATGCATTTTGAAACCACGAGAGTGCAAAAAACAGCAACAAATGAAAAATTAAATAGTGGCCACCTGATCCTCCAAGATGATCCTAGATGAATAAGCATGATATGCAGGAAGTATTGTACTGTGAGCCTTCATCTTCAGGCCATGTCAATGTAATAACTAAAATATTCTTCAGTTTGACAAATGTTACCTGTGAATCTCAAAGAAACAACCGATGAAACTAATCCAGCATACCCACTCCATCTCATCTTAAACATCTTAAGTTCAATTGTGCTAGAGATTGTGGTTGGGATATTGCTCTGACAATGCATATACGAGATCTTTACTTTGTGCAAGACATTCCATGCAATATCCATTCATACTGCCACCACAGCATCCTTGGAATTTTCTTCTGAATCTTCCATTTTAGTCATCTATGAGATGCAACAATATTCTTCAACAGAAAAACCACTTAATTCCTTAAAAGCTTTAACAAATGGCTTTCAATAATTTGGCAATAAAGTTAAGAACCCTCCAGCCAATGCTTTAGCACGACAACAAATTTTGAATAGAACTCTAACGGAGCCTTGTTATCATACTAAAAAGAACAACAATAAACTCTTGATAGCACTTGTCCAGCTCAAGTTAATTAACATTGGGCTGGCTTCAATCAGCAAGGGAAAGAGAACCTTCCCACAATTAAAATTCAGATAGAACATGCCTATACACCATTCACTCAAGGCCAAGACAAAAAGACATGTTTCTTAATACAACATTAAATGGTCTGTTCAATCATTTTAGCATGCTTTAGTTCAATCAGGACTAACCTTAAAATATTTTAGTTTAGATCAATCCGGACTAACC